ATGAATTTAAACGATTGATGACGCTGCTAGAACATATTCATTTGCGTAATTTTTCTATATAAGTGGTGGTTTTTGCGTAAAACAAAGACGCTTACCATTGGCCTTATTGGGATCACTATGCTCCTAATAAGGCCACCATTAAAAAATTTCAAAATAGAATTCTTTTAAAACTTATTTGATAAGAACATAATACAAAAAAAAAGAACTTAAAGTTTTATGATTCGTTAGCTTCGTTTTTATTTTTTGGAGATTGTGGTTGACAAATTCGTTTTGAATAAATCCTTTGTAACAACTTAAGCAGATGAGTTCAATACTTTACGTCTGGGCTTATCTGGATTTTAATTTCAGGGATTGGAAGTTGTTTCGAGAAACTGGAAGAATTGGCTGAGTCACTAGGAGAAGGAGGATTATCAGACCAGTGTGAGCATGATGGTTTTGATGGCAAATGTGGATTATTAACTTGTTGATAATCAGCAGGTTTCTTATTCAGCCCAGGATTTTCTCTTTGTCTCAACATCGAGAGCGGTAGATCGTCGGAATCTGACCATTCGGAGTCATCCACTGTATTAATACTGTTTTGATTATCCTCTTCTCCTTCTGGTTTTAGCTGACGTGTTTCTGTTTCTGTCAATAAATTAGGTGCGAACGCAGCCTTTTCAATCACATCTGGGTAAGAGGGGTATAACCCTGTTGCTAGGAATCCAGACAATACATTTTCTGGTGACATTGCCTTCGGCCAAATTTTGCTTTAACTGTATCCTAATTTTCCTTTTGTGATTTTTCGTTCGGATTCACCCATCCAGTAATTTATGACCTCTTGGTCCCAAAATAATTCGAATGAGCGAAATACAGATTTATCAATAGGTTGAAATCCATGGATGGTATGTCTTGAAAAGCATAACAAAGTTACTCCAACAGCATCAGCAGCCTCAACAATACTAGCATCTAAATGGGAGGCTGCTCCATCGAACAGTAGCAAACTTCGCCCAGGTGGTTCAAACTTAGAAAAATGTTCTACCCATTTGATGGAAGTAGCGGTGATCATGCCTCCTTTAGCTGTCATTTCAATGACTGTTCCTGGAGGCATAGAATCAATCCATTCAGGTTTTTGGCGTACTACCTTGAAAAGTATCATAGGAGGAATAGCTTGTCCCAAAGCAACCACCGTTACGTTTTCCGCGTGCTCTGGTGCAATCATATGCACCCGGTTCACACCTTTCTTTGTGGGGACTTTTTGCTAGTGGTGAAGCGTCAAACGGCATCCTTTTTCGTCCATGTAAAAGCTTTTGAAAATAATCTCCTACGATATGTTGCTTCAGTCCAAAAAGCCCGTACTCCAAGCAATCTAAAAACAATCAGTGAAGTAATAATATGACACATTTTTCCAAGAAAAAACACTGTGATGTGAGGTCAATTGAACATTTTTCGTATGGCCTTATTAGGAACATGTTACATTGATAAAAAAAAGTCTCTAACTAGACATCTAACAAAGATATTATTCTGTACTTACTCTGTAGCTTTCTCAATATATATATATATATATATATATATATATATATATATATATCCGGTAAAAAATTACAATCGGAGTGATACACCTGTATAAACTAATTAGGTTCCAGTCTTAAAGTTAAAACGTGACACGTGAAATATGTAGTTGACAATTTTTCGACATATAAGTAGTTGCTAGGAACCCTCGCAATAATTTTTGATTTGCATTATAGATTTCTTTTTCAACAATATTTTAATTTTTGAAAATGGGATTCAATATAAAGCAATAAAGGGCATTGGCCTTATTAGGTACACGGCCTTATTTGGGTCAGGTACCTTAATTATAATTGAAAAAGACTTAATGCGAGAAGATAATGAAGTAATTGAAGACAATCAGACTATTCACATTTCTCTTGAAAACCCTATTCTAGGAGCCCCTTATACCAAAAACCATGTTAATCTTTTTGCTAACCAAATAATTTTTAGATACTCTAACAATAATGTTATTCGCAAAGAAAGTATTATTCCACTTCCTAACAAAACCAGAATAACATTTTTCTCACCTAATGACCCATTAGAGTAGAGGAACAAATTATTAAATTAATAAAGGAATATCTTCCACCAAATACGTATTGTATGTATTTCCACAACAAAACGTTAGAACCTATTATACTTAGACTTCTAAGTACATCATTCAATTCGAACTCGTTCAAGTTATGTATTTTCAATTTCTTTGTCGAAGACATAACAGAAACTGATGAACAGCAAGAGAAAATTAAACTATACCATGCGATTAAAACATCTCATCGCGGAGTTACAGAAAAGGTTTCATCTTTAAAGAACCGATATTATTGGCCTAATCTAGAAAAAGACGTACAAGCATATGTCAAAACATGCGAAATTTGTAATAAGATAAAATATGAAAGGCAACCCTATAAAATAATATTCAAACCAACTCCAATCGGTTCAAAACCCTTTGAACACCTTTATATTGATATATACGTAGTTTCGAATCAAAAATTCCTAACAATTATTGACAGCTTTTCGAAGTTTACACAAGCTATCCCAATTATGAGCAAATCTTCAGTTGAGATTGCATCACAATTAATAAGATATTTCAGTGACCATGGAATTCCACAAAGAATTACTTCCGATAACAGAACTGAATTTAAAAATGCAATTGTAACAGATTTATGTACTTTACATAAAATCGAATTCCATTATACGACACCTCGAAACCCTAATTCTAATAGTCAAGTAGAAAGACTACATTCTACCCTGAGAGAAAATCTAACAAGTTTGAAATTACAAAGCCTTAATAAAAACATTAATGATTTAATAATAATTGCAATCTTGAATTATAATAACAGCATACATAGTGTTACAGGTTATACACCTTTTCAAATAATTAAAGGCGATTTAAATTATTCAATACCTATTGAAAATGCACAAAATGAGATAACCACAGATTATATTAATAATTTTGCCGAATCATTAGAAACTCTAAATAATGTAATTCATGACAAATTAATATCAAAACAAACACAAAATTTAGAGAAAATCAATAAGCAACATGAATTAAAAGATCCTATTTTTATTAAGCAATTTGACAGAAATAAAATTAGTCCTCGTTATGGTGCTAAAACACAAGTCAGATTTAGTAAACAAATGGTAAAGCGACAACATTTTGTTTCAGAAAAACCAAAATGTTTCCGGCAGCTGTCATCGTCCTCCTCATAGGAATTTTCAGTAACGCCTACACATTAACTGCATTAAGAAATCCTATTTTACTGATTTATATAGGAACCACTTACATCACAACACAACACAACACTGCATGTATTCACATCAATACTACCCTTGTTGGAAATAGTATTAAAACTCTCGAAATAACTTTAAAGAATTTAAATAATACTTTAAATTTACCCAAATGGTCTAATAAAGACGAAATTGTTACTTTATTAAAAGTAAATATTGAAACTATAGTCAATCACGTATCAATACATTAAAGAAATTTGTAAAACAATTTTCACACGATCGACTTAAACGTGGAGTATTCAATTTTATTGGTACCGCACAAAAATGGCTGTATGGTACATTAGACGCAAATGACGGCGATAGATATAATTCTTACATTCAAACATTAAATAAGAATTAGCAAACTATCGATAAAAATCTAAAAGATTAAACACACGTACTTAAACAAGTAACGAAAACATTTCATGATCAATTTTCTACTATCGAAAATAATCAGATAATAATCTCAGACAAGATAAGAAATATTTCGATGGATAATCATAATATTCAAACTATCTTAATGATGAATCTAATTTTAGAAAATATTAACATGCACAGTAGTAAACTACGCGAGATAATTAGCCACATACAAAACGCTATCAGTTTTGCACGCATAGGCATAATGCACTATACGATTCTGCAGCATAATGAATTACATTTTATTTAAAAAAAAAAAATATACCCGTCAGAGAACAAATACCCTTCGATAACGTAATTAAATACTATGCGACAATGTCCTCTCATGTAATTATTCAAAAGGAATTAATTATTTTTACTATATTCTCACCAATAATTATTCCTAAACCTTTTATATATTGTATAAATTATATCCTATACCCATCCCAAATTATACAATTAGTGTTAAGTCCAATCGTAATTTCTAAACTAAAATGTTCAATAACAATTAATAATCGAACATTTTTGGAAGACACGCATGAGAACTTCAACCTAGAACTAGAACTACCCATCATCGACATTCCTGAACTTCTAGAGAATACCACAACTGCAGGACTAAAAGCAGTCGATGACGAAGCTCTTCAATCAGCGATTAAAGAAGCAGACAAATTAAAGACTGAACCATTAAAAGTGTTAGATTTTAAAACCAATAATGTGTCAACCTATATTATAATCATAGTATTAAGTTCTATTTGCATAACCATTATTCTTATTCTATATTTTAGAGGAAAATGTAGTAAATCTAAAACTGAGGTGCAGATTGAATTGCCCAACATTGTTAGTCAATCCCAATTTGCAACCACTTAAGGAGGGAGGACTTATATTTTAAGACCCTATGTTATCTTTATACTAATAATTCTCCTTTCCTATGATAATTATAAGCGTACGCCTATGTCAAAACATATAATAATGTAAATTTGCTTAATCAGCGGTACTGCACTGGTAGTACCACCATTCCGCCTATGTAAAATGCTGCATCAGCAGATATTTCTTATTTAAGCCAGCGCATTCCCTCACGGAGCGTTCATTTGTTTTCAGGCATTCCCTGTAGCAATTTGATCCACATATTTTCCTTTGTCACTATTGTATTTTAATTAATAAAATAAAAGTTTTTTAAAAATTCAAGTTTCTGAATCGAAAATATAATTTATGTTTTCTCAGAAAATGTATGTAAAAGAAGGAAAGTTTCCCATTTGAGGCATCACCACTGAAATTTGAAAAAGATCGCCTAATAAATTAAACAGTGCAATAAAACGTACTTTGGAAAGGATGCCTATATTCGATAATAAAATAACTAAATTTTTAAAAATATTGATATCAAATCATTGATTTGTGTAGTAAAATACAATTTTTTTTGTAGTCAATGTCATTTGCAGCATCATGCGTTTCACAAAACTGAGTTAGCAGATTGTCCAATATTTTCACTTGATGCACTATTCTTTCGTGTGTTTTTACTCTGTTTCGAAATTCGATGACCTAAAATGAATTTTTAGCAATTATTTACTTTATTTTTAAAATTGATTAATTCAACTAAAAATGTACAATAAAGCTTTTGAATAATTACCCTTTACCTAAAAAAATGCATTCAGTTCAAAGATTATTTTCTATCGTGCAAGTAAAGTTATTTAGGCATGCCAGGTCAAGAAAAATACTGAAAGTAATGAAATCGTCGCAAGTTTTGGTATACATATCGTTTTTGTACAATTTCCTTACAAAGCACATTTTGTTCTGCAAAATTTCAACGACTCTTAGTACTTCTAGTATTTTCATTTGGTTCATCGTGTAATCGCTCATTTTTGTCATTTCAGGTGTCTAAAATGAAATTTTGAATAATCAATATTTGTAAAAGTCGACTAAAACAACAAATTTGGAATGACAAAACAAACGAATACACAAAATATGTTGTATGGGAAAACGTTGGAAAATAATATAACTTCACAAGAAAACTCTCTTCATAATTGATAAGATAAGAGCAGGGATGGGCATCTACGCGTAAACAATGATTGTCTACGTCTGGTGTAAACAACGCGTAGACAATGTAAACTATGTAATCTATGTCGACAACGTGTAAAATATGTAGACACCGCGTAAAGTATACAATTTTTGACAGTTGGCAGGCCTTTAAGGTTATGTTTCTGTTTTTGCTTTGTTTTGTTTTTTGCTTTGTAAAGTTAATTAAACTGCAGATAAAATGTCTAATTTGATACAATATATATTTAATGCAATGTAAACTTTCAAAAAAATTACTCATATTTCAAATTTTCTGTTGTCTACATTGTCTACATAGTTTACATAGTCTACATGGAAAAAAGTGGATGTAAACAATACGTAGACAACGAGTAGACAAACCGCGTAAAGTAGATTTCATAGTCTACGGCACATCCCTGGATAAGAGTGTTTCTTACTAAGGCGGATCAAATATGGCTTGATGTGAAGGAACATTAGCAAGAAAATAGTGCTGCGATGAGGGAAAGAAAAGTTTATATAGTATCTGAGTATCGTTACATTTACTATTTACTTTTACTATATTATTACATATAGATTTAAAAAATCGAAATAATAACGATACTCAGATCCATTAAATACTCAAATGTTCCGACTAAATTCAAATATACCATCTATCTTTCATCATTTTAACCTTTCCTTAAACCTCTTAAACCTTATATTTGTTCTGATATATTGTCTAGGTTTAATAAAAAAAAAATTTTTCCTACGAGCGTGCGCAAAGTAGTACTTTTCCGCACGCATTTCCGGGCTCAAAGTTACACTTTTCCGCACTCAGTGCGGATACAGGCCTTATCCGCACTGAGTGCCGAAAAGTAATTATAATTGTCAAGCAACAATAAGTGCACCTGTCGACTTTGACACATGATGACAAATTTTTCCTCTGTTTCTATATCAGCCAACATCTATACAAACACCAAATATAAATTAACTTTGACACATTGTCAGATTTGTTCTCTATTTATATGCAAAAATCTACAAACTTTCTCATCAAATTTAAACGCTTTAAGATGAACAGCTCTGATGAGGATTTTCTGTTATTTTTTTTTGTTATGTAATTTTTTGATAAATGCATAGGTTCCCTTCAAGTTAATTAAAAATAATTAAACAAATTATCGTTTTTTTTTTAAATTTTTGTTATTACCTACCTGATATGAAGCTCGCAGGAAAAATTTTGTTCCTAACACGTGCGCAAAATGTCTTTTCCGCACGCAAACACGTATCCGAACTCCGCTTCGCGTCGTTCGTATAACTGTGTTTGCGTGCGGAAAAGTAACACTTTGCGCACTTGTTAGGAAAATAACTATTCTGCGATTGACAAGAAATGTCAGCATTTTTGACCGGTTGACAGTTCGCAAAACTCAATATTCTGGTATTTCAATTATGTTTCAATAGTTGCTAAGGAATCAATGAATAACAATACGGGAAACACTTTTCCGGCCTAGGCCGGGAAAGTGATTCTCGTATTGCTGAATAATTGGAACTTAAAGACAAACATTTAACAGGTATTTAACCGATCGCAGAAAAAATAGTGTGTGTATTTCGGTGGAAAAGCACATTCTCGGCCGACGGTGTAAGTTGACGGGCGAGGCGTAGCCGAGGCCGGCAACTTACACCGTCGGCCGAGAATGTGTTACTTTTCCACCTAAATACACAATATACTATTAAAATCTGTCTACTTTTTTTCTACACTGTTATACAATCTTAATAAAATCTCTATTGAATAAGTACTCATGCGAAAGCTTTCAATAGATAAAAGAGTCTTTTTTCTTTTAATAACTGGCGTCATCCCCACGAATAATAACATATTCTTATTATATAATATAGGTACTACTATATCGCAAAAACAAAATTGTCGATATTATTGAAACTAATTTTTCCTTAAAATAGGCTTGATTATTCCAGTGGCGTTCCGAACCCTATGTTGAAATAAAAAAGTACGTGAATGTCCACACCACTGGAAAATTTCAATATTTTCCAGAGCCTTTGGGTATTATGGGTAATATCACATTTTTATACATGAGCAAGAATACATTATCTGCATTTTCTTGACCTCGGAGACGAAATTAACTTACTATGCATTAAAACTCACGAGAGACGAGAGAAAACGAGACGAGACGAGAGAAGAGCTCTCTCGTCTCGAATCGAGGGTCTCTCGTTGAGACGAGAGACTCATTTTCTCTCGAACCTTCGAGACAAGACGAGAGAGCGGATTCTCGTCTCGTCTCGTCTTGCGGCATCACTACGCAAAACATTCACACTTTGACAGGATCCGAAGAATATAAAAAGTCAATTTTTACTTGATCCGCCTTTGTAACATTACGTTCTTACCGTGTTATGTTCGAAACTAATCCCAATTCCTATCAGAGCTCTTGGTCGAAACACATGCAGTACCAAAATAGCCATAGCAATGCATATTAAAAGATACATTATAATAAGAGAAAACCAATAGCAGATAGAATAGCTGGAATTACGGTTTTCCGCTGCATGATCGTCATTTTGACGAACGTTCATATTTTGATTCTTATCCAGAGCTAAAACACAAAGGATTATTAAATTACGAGACTTAGGCCCGATTATTCCTCTTCAGATAAACTTGCTGGTAACTATCTGCAAGATAAATCTATCGCTCTATAATTCTTTTGGTTGGTAGAAAACTGGCCGACCAATGGGGTTACAGATTCCGTTTGCATACCTGACAGTTTATCAGAAGGTGAATAAACCGACACTTAATTAGATAAAAACCTTCTCTCTTCAATAAATCCGGATTTTTGGAGTTGGTGGTTTGAGGTGGAGTTGGTTCAAATCGCCTTTTTCCAAACGTAACACCTTCCTCGCCGTATCTATACAAAACTACAGACGATTGATGTGACGGTGGCTTTTTCACAGGTAGTGGAGGTGGTGAATCTAGACTCGCACTTTTGGATTTAAACAAGAAAATATACTAGGTGTTCTCTTTTCCCCTAGTAGAGTATATTATGTACTTTGTTTCACGAGGGTTTGTACTTTTGCCTTCCTTTTTCAACAAATGAAAATTGACTGAAACATATTAATGACGTCAAAACGTTCGTCGGTTCTTAAAACCTGAAGCCATTCAATAAATTTGTCAGAAAAATTGTGTCAAAATAAGCATGAATAAAAATAAAAATATATGAACTAATCTACGACAAACATTTTTTTCCAAGTTATGACATCATAGATGTCATAAGTAGATACAAACCTTCGTGAAATGAACCTTACATAAGATTTTTCGATTAATAAAAGGCGATTCAGAATACGTTCCGCTCGCATTAAATTCCAAATTTGAGACAGACAGACCAACAGATCAATACGTCGCCCTAGTTGTGAATGGTCGTAATCCACTCAAGGTAAATTGTGAGTAAACTGCATATAAAATTTTTGTTTTTTGTGAAAACATTCTTTTTAATTAGCAAATATACTATAACAAGGTCAAATATTGATCAGTGGCTTAGATCTATTCATCAACATGAAATTTAAACATTTTTAAGTATGTTAACAGAGAGGTTAACAGTCACAACTCATGAATGAACATTTTGTGGATTACGACCATTCACAACTAGGGCGACGAATAGACCAACAGACATTATTTTTTAATCGAGGGGACTATTATTAAAATCGTAAAATTTTCACTATTTTTAATTTTGTCAAAAATATGACGTTTGGGTCGACAAAAACCTAAATCGAAAAAAATAAATAAAACAAACGTCTGTCGGACTATCGGTCTTTCTCTTGTAACTTCATAACTAACGCAGCTTCAGACATGGCGTTTTCAGATTTAAATTTCTATGAATATTGCCCAAAAGTTGTGTTATATGGTTCAATGCTGCCAGAGCATACTTCACTCCTAAATGCTATTTATACAACATAATACCATTGTAGGGCCATAGTTTGTATAGTGGACTATTCGTGCTTTCAAGCATCAATTTTGTTTTCGTCGATTTAGGTGCTTTGAAACCCAAAACACATTCTATTATTTTATCAACTACTGTACCTGCTATCTTATAAATAAATAGTTTTCTCTTCTTCCTAACTCTGATATGCATTCTGTATAATCCCGCATAGAATAAATAAGGTTTGTTTCTTGAGGGTTCATACTTTTGTTATCGAACACGTCATAACTTGGAAAAAAAAAGGGTTGTGGTAGATTAATTCATATGACACATTCAATTTTTTTGACAAATTAAAATGAATGACTTCTGGCTTAATAACCGACGAACGTTTTTGACGTCATTGATTTGTTTCAGTCAATTTCTATTTATTGAAAAAGGAAGGCAAATTTTGTCAAAAGTATGAACCCTCATGAAACAAAGTTTACATATTTTAAATAAAAGCAGGTGCATTTATTCCGGCATTAAGTTATCATTGACTACGTTTATTACGTAGCGTTTTGATGCGTTCGAGTCGATCCGATAGAACTGCATCCACTTGAAAATCACGTTATAAACACTGGTGAATCCGATCGAAATTGCATCGAACGTATTTATAACGTGATTTTCGAGTGGATGCAGATTCATCGGATCGATTATCTTGGGCGCACTTTCTTCGCTATTTATATCAACTATGCCGGTTCATAAAATAAACTAACGTGTGAATCAATCGGCCATCAAAATTGCAATAAATTGTAATCTTATAACAATACATAAGATTATTACACTATTGTCACACTTACCCTTTTGATTTACTGGTGACAGACTGGTAATGTTCAGTGTTATTTAAATCTGTTAAGTTAAAGTTAGATTGTGACCTATTCATTTTCCACTAACTAATAGCTACAAACTTTTAAATAGGTACTTGACTTATTTAAAATATACTTATATTATTTTAATTATTTTTGTTTATTTATAAGCCAATGATAAAAATGTGGTCTGGTCTAACATAACTTTTTTTTGCAATAAAAATAGTCTATACACCACATAATGAATACCAATGCCAAAAATATAGGATAGTTTTTTTTTTATATAAGTACCTACTAGATGGAATTATTTATAAAATTTTATCTGGAACACCAGCTACATGCATATTGCGGCCATGTTCAGAGTAAAATTCTGGATGCAAAGTAAAAGTTATACAGGAAAAGACGGCCGTCCTCTACTTTGATACGATTTTTAAATTGCCAATAAAATTTCGGATTTTACACTTTACTTAACTCTCGAATCCGAATGCGGGACATTTGATTAAGGAAAAAGCTGATGTAGAATGTCGTATTAGGAAAACTTAGGATTCTATTTTTGACAAAAAAAAAAATGGAACCTCATTTATTATATTACAGTACCGACAAATGTGTTATAGGCATAGGTTTAGTAGAATTATTATAATGAAATAATCATTATGTGTACCTATCTAATGCTCGTATTACATTTGTGTATTTTTCCGTGTATTTATTCATGTAGTTCAGGGTGCCAACATTATTTTGTGTTCCATAATGCTGATTTATGTTGCATTTGAAGTTTTTCGATTGTCACTCTGAACTACATGAATAAATACCCGGAAAAATACACAGATGTAATACGGGCATAAGTGAAATATAAGTAAAATTTAATTTAACAACTGCAAAAAAAAAACAATTATATTGCAACCTTATTTAAAAAAAAAAGAATGGGTTCTAGTTATTGACTTTTATAAGGTCTGTTTCTGCACAAATCACAAACCAGTCAGAGTGAATTTCATTGGTTGAAACTAGTTTTCTGACTGTTTTCAACCAATGAAATTCGCTCTGACTGGTTTGTGATTTCTGCAGAAACATACCTATAATTTGCAACAATTTCTTTGCACAGCCGACAGTTCCTGCAGAGGTTACCCTAAAGGGCGTTTCACATGCTCTTTATGTTTCTGGTAATAAAGAAACCGTTTTTGAAAAAACTAACTTTAATTAAAAATTCAATTAAAAGTTCAAAATACAAAAGCAAAAATACGTGTGAACAACTCAAAGTCTATGTCTAATCTAAAAGGTAAAAGTTTATTCGCATGGGGCATCCTGTTTTCAAGCTTACACAGTTCTCAGGAAACTGCATATGTCAGCGATGCAATGGTCAGCATGTTCCCACGAATGGCACACATAACTCCTCCATCCCTAGAAGGAACTCGAGGGTGGAATTACTCGTGTTTCGTCTATTGTCTCAGTAGCCGGAGGCTTTCGCAGGATTCTTGAAATCTTCATTTTGTTGTTCTTGATTGGAAATATATGCCGCAAATCAATATTGCGGTGATTAGGATCCATGGAAGCCAATTCATGTAGGTATGTATTTTGGTGAAGTTTGGTAAATTCTAGAAAATCTTCTGTCGAACTCCGAAGTTGAAGTTCGTGTAGCTTGTTCAAAGGGATTTTCTCTAATTTAATCTTTTCGGTCTTTGACTCTGGGATTGGTTATTGAATCTATTGGTACCGTGAGATATGCCACTCATTGGTACTGGTTTTTGCAAATTAGATATGTCACTCATTGGTACTGGTTTTGGTAAATTTTGGCCTGCTTGAGAGTTTGGTTTCCAAACATTTTTGGGTGAACCAAAAACTTGTTGGTTGGTGAAAATTTTTTGTTTTGGTATCTGTCTGGGATTAACGTTTATTGGGGCACGCGGAAATGTTTTTCCGGGTGGTTGAATCGTTTGTGCTGGCGTGTAATTTTGCTGAAAATTGTTGAAACGTGGAAGGTTATTTTGATGAAAATTCTGCTTCTGTTGATTTTGATGTTTATTTTTATTAGCAAAATTTTCATTTTGGGGTTTTTGTAAATGTCTTATGTTACTTTCCGAAATGATGTACTGTCTAGCTTCGGCTAGATCTTTTGGTTTCATCGATCGGATCGTTGAACCTAGTGGTTCTTTTAAACCTGCCAAAAATATTGTTAAAGCGTGTAAATTATAAAAATTCTTTTTAACAATACTTGTTGGATCATTAAAATTATTGTGGGTATCAATATAATTATGTAAAGCACTTAAATTAGGCATAACTCTAGTATGTTGTTAATCATAATATCTTAATTAACAAATTACAGTTCTACGGTTTCAGAGGAATGGCTCTCAAATGGTTTAAGTCTTATCTTGGTAACAGAGGTCAGCTTGTGAGGGTGGACTCGACCATGTCCTCTTGTAAACCAATTGAATGTGGTGTGCCTCAGGGTTCAGTTCTTGGCCCTATTTTGTTCCTGCTATTTATTAACGACATTGCTAGTTTGGATATTAGCGGCAAAGTTTGTCTCTTCGCAGACGATACTAGTTTCACTTGGAGCAACCCGGATATTACGGAACTCCATAGAACCGTATCTAGTGACTTAATCACCATCAAATCATGGTGTGACTCAAATCTCCTGTGCCTCAACCTCTCTAAAACCAAAGTTTTATCTTACAGAGCTTCGCTCCAATCTGTAGTACTGGATAACAATACCATGGAGGCCGTTGATTCCGTGAAATTCCTGGGGCTTGTTGTTGATAAATCTCTAAAGTCGGACCTGCATATCGACGCCTTAGCAAAGAAATTAAGTTCGGCCTGTTTTGCACTGAGATCTGTTTCCAGGGAGCTTAACTCGGCAACTTGCAGGATGGTATATTATGCTCTTTTTGAGTCGCATTTGCGTTACGCCCTTCCATTCTGGGGCACGTGTTGTGCGTCTCATTTTGAACGCATTTTTAGACTGCAGAAGAGAGCTCTTCGTTATTCTTTGGGACTTGGTAGTAGAACTCACTGCCGGGAATTTTTTATCAAGTCTAGTATATTGACTCTTCCATCTTTATTTATTTTCGAATCCGTCTGCTTAATTCGTAAGCACTTAATATCAGCTGTCTCAGAGAGGCCATCTCACAATTATCCACTGAGGAACGCAGAGTTGGATCTTTATCTGCCAATCCCGCGCTCAGAGTTAGTTAAAAGTTCAATACTTTATAATGCTAAAAAGATGCATAATCATCTACCGCCTAACATCAGGTCCATTGCATCTTTTCTCGAATTTCGCAGGGCGTTGAAGGTGTATTTACTGAGGAGAGCCTTGTACACAGTAAGCGAGTTGTTTATGGTTTCCTAATTCTAAATTTTGAGCAGCTTACTCACAGGTTTTGTTTTTGTTCCTGTATCATGATAGGTTATTATAAGTTATTGTTTGTTTGTTTTTTTAGTACCTATAATATGCTTCCTCGCACAGTATAAGCAGTTAGACCTAGATGTTTGTTTGTTAGTTTTAATCAAATTTTGACCATGAACTATTTGTTCAAGTGTTTGGTTTTGTCTGTGCTTTTGCATTTGTATGTTTTGTTTTTTATTTTTTCAGCTTTGTCCACAAAATTGTAAAATTTTCTGACAATAAAGCAAATTCTTTCTTTCTTTCTTTCTATGAAATTGCAATGGGGGTTCGTTAGCATATTGTCTAAGTTGATCTAAATCAAACAATAAGCCATTTTCCTTTCTTTATTCCATAAATTATTGGGAGATTTTGCACACAATAATTAGGATCTTCACTATTCCAATAAGTCGAAATCAGTTTTAGACTTATTTCAAGAAATGAAGCTAACTCTAAAGGGCTGCCATCGAAGTTTGGCACTATTTCGAGTAGTTTGGTTTCGAAATGTGGTGGAGCCATCGTTTCGATTCTCTCACTTATGGAAATATTTGAGAATAAATTTTCTAAATGTAAAGAAGTGTTTAAGTCTAATTGACTTGAATAATTACTATGATTTATTAAAATTGACCCGTTTTCACTGGTTTCCGTTGTCCGTTGTCCGTTTAACAGAGTTTTTGTTTCCTGGTTCAAGGTTCGTTTCTTGAATTAACGATTAGGACCGAAGGATTTTTCGATGAGAAAGTCCTTTCAAGAATCCTACCGACTGCGCCACTTTATAGACAATCACCCGGTACTACCCCCTATAGAAAACAATCACAATTATTTCACACATTTTCAAAAGCTACATAGGTACCTTTTATTTCTGGCTTTCTTTTTAATGCTGGTGTAATGGGTCCAGACAAATTTTTGGGTTTATAGTTTTTCCAGCTAGCACTTGGTATATTCTAAAAACAAAAAATAGAAGTAGGTAGGTTATTTCCATGTCTCTCAAAGATCACTTGGACATACTCACATACATTGATGTTATTCTCTGGATTTGTACTGTTTAAAGCTGTTTGGTCCCATTCCTCTATCTGGAAAATTATTTCATTTTCATCTGCTACTTGTACATTATTATCACTGATTTCTCGATTGATTTGCATATCATCTTCGATCTCTTGATCCATGTGCTTAAATTCAATGACGGTATCAGTAGTAGTATCACCTGCACCTGTGATTTGGTTTCCTAAACATTCCTTTGGACGTATTCCATCCCTATCTAATCCTCCATTGTCTAATCCAAACACTGATTTGGTGTTCATAATAGATAACACCACATCATGACATGGATCCTTTTTGATTATTTTAGGAATGCCACCTCCAGTAAGAAATATTTCTTTTTTCTCCTCAGCTGCTATTTTTCTAACTTTTTTTTTTATTTTCAAAGAAGCGTTTTAAACAATCCGCCCCTCTATAGATACCATCTGGCGAAGCTGAGTTAAATTTTTTGGCAATATTTAGCCAAGCTTGTGCTTTCTCCTTAGATGTGATATGGTCGGTCTTTTGGTTTTCAATTATATGTTTATAATTGGCACATATATTCGCAATTATAATTTTTTCTTCATTTGTGAAATTGGATGACCTAGCCCTAATTTTCTTTTTTTGTTCCTGGTCCATGATTCCTGTTTCCCGGTTTTTCCCGACGAAAATTAATAGATCCACACACGAACACGACAAAACAGACTGCAAACTTGGAAACAGAACCAAAACAAACAAAGCTCCAGAGTCCAAATCCACACCTTAACCTCAAATTCTTTAAAAAAAAATGTTGAACGTGAAATTTGCTGCAAATAATTTTACAACGTTGCCAAAAGGTATTTTTTCCGCAAACGTCAAAAAATGACGACTTTTTTAACCTCAATTCTTAATGTTGAATTTTGACTTCACAGACGTCATTTTTTTGGTTACTTTTTTGTCCGCGCGTTCCGTGAGCATACAAAAATAGTATATTGTTTAACGAGTGACGAAAATAGCATTTTTTGCAACGAGAAAACAGTTTTCGAGTTGCAAAAAGTACTTTTTTGTACGCTCACAGCCGGACAAAAAAGTGACGCCACAGAAATTTCCTAGATTCCATCGCTTTGAACACCGTTTGCGAAAAAAATCGCATGTTTTATTCGGAGAAAAGCACTTTTTGTAGCTTAAAAAGTATCACTTTTACTCCTAATAAAACAATATACTATTTTTAAAATCTCGGCTTACTTAACTGAGTGAAATAATTTGATAGTACATGAATCAAAATTTAATCCTAGTTTGAATTTAAACACAGATTAGTTAAACGCGGTTTTATTTTATAACGGTGCAAACGGCCATAAATGTTGTGTTAACGTATCTAGTAGCTGAATTAAATTCAGTTTTTTTCGATGGTGAATTTGGCCTTGGTTGAAGAAAATTAATGTTTACTCTCTGGATCAGAAATCACCTAAAATTAAAATTGATGAATCCACAAAATTAGTTTTGTTTGTTGCTTGGTAATTTCGCGAATGACAACCACTCGCCTTACGGCTCGTGATTTTGTCAAAAATTTCAGGAGCGAAATTACCAAGAAGCAACAAACTTGAATAAAACCGAGAGAATAATTTTGCCTACATAATTTTTTCTTGAGTAGTAATCGGCTGGACTATTTCACGAGAAAAACAAGCCATATTTTCATCTGGAATAGTATATTGTTGTATTAGGAGTAGAAGCTTTATTTTTTTGTGCTGAATCAGTAGGTTTACGAACGTAGTGAGGCTTGCAATACTGCTGAAGCACAAAAAGTGCTTCTACTCCGTATGAAACACGCTATTTTTTCTCCAAACGAATGGGATAAGCTCGGGGGTAACTGGATGGTTGAGCGGCAGCAAAAGTACGAGCGGCACTAAAAGTACTTTTGCTGCCGCTCCAGCGGCATTAAAAGTACTTCTACTGCCGCTGCAGTTGCCTAGCAGCATGGAAATTAAATTTCTACCACCTCGACAGAGGTTAACCCGCTGGATTTGACTAGCAGCACAGAAATTAAATTTCTGACATCTTGACAGGTGTTAACAAAGTGACGTTTTTTTGACGTTTGGAGAAAAAAATTATTTTCTTTTGGTGACACTTGTCAAACTTAATAGTTTTTTACTCTAGAGCGGCGTTTCCACATGCATAGTTTATTGGCGCCAGTCGACTGACGTAACTTATGTGGCGCGTGGAAACTCGGAAAATTACCTGGGGGCGGATTACGAACTCTCGATTCGAACCGAAACCGCCATGTTACACCAAAATTTTGATTTCAAACGCACTCCATGCGAATGCATTTCGACGAAAGTCACTCGACTGGTTGATGTCTGTCGAAAAGCTATCGAAACGAAATCGAGTCCAATAAAGTTAAGTTATGTTGGATTTTTGGGGGCCAAAATTCGTTTGATTCTTTATTTTGTTTTGACGTTTTGTAGTATTTTGAACTTTGAACAGAAAAATCGCTGAAAAAAATTGTCTTAAAATTAATGATCGCCATTTGCAGGTTTTATTATCTTTTATAGATAAACATTCTCTATTTGCTAGAGGTCAATTTGCAGGGCCCAACGGCAAAGTCATTCAAAGGAAACTCTGGAACAGCTTACAGAAAATAAAGAATCTGTGGGTAATTGTAGATGAGGTCGTACCAAGTCAATAAGGTTCCAAGACTTTGCTAAGTCTAAATAGTTCAATAAACCTTGCCTCTGGGTCTTTTTTCTTGAAACAGGGGAGCAGGGTTCCCAAGAGAACGAGTGTTCCGTCTTTGTACCTACTTATGTCGTTATCATTTGCATATCATTGAAAAAGACGGAACACTCGTTCTTCTGGGAACGCTACTCCCTGTTTCAAGAATAAGGACCCTGGATGTAAAAAGGAATCATAACTTTCTCTGATTTCTCTTCTCATATGAATTAATGCACGATTTTCTCGTCTTCTTGCATCATTTTGCCTTCGCCGCCTTATGACTCTGATTATGGTAAACATATTACTAACTTTTTCCTTTTATAAAAATTTTTAAACACTTTGAAATTGCGAAATTAATCTTTAAAGAACACAAATAACCACAACACAACAATAAAAAATTAGAATTAGTATTAAGTCAATGTCAAAAAATTGACAAAATTTGGTAAATTTGAGCGAAAGGCGTCACAAATCTCCGAACTCACACGAACACAAAACGAAACTTGTACCTAATCATCTCTGACGTTTCGAGCACAATCGATGCGTATTCACTTCCGTATCGAGTGTCCATTTCGAGTCGTGTTTTCGTAATCCCCCCGCTGGCGCCAGTTAACTTGCGCCACTTATTCATGCGCCAGTAAAGTAGAATGGAGGTCTACTTTTTGGCGCCAGTTTCCCATGTGCGACAGTTTGTCAAAAAAAAATACAAAAGTTTTCACTATTCGGTTCCAGAAAAGTAATGAAAACGTCAGGTAAATCTAAAAAAATTGAACCTATAAAGTTTATGGAAGAACATCCCTGTTTGTGGAATCACAAACTTTTGTGTTACAAAGCTAGGAATTAATGGGATGATGCTATAAGGATAAGTGTTGACGTATTGTGCGAGTTCTCGTGTTCTTATTCTTAAGTGGTTTTGATATCACTGCTGCCGAAAGTAAAATAAGAAGCTTTGGAAATGCCTCATGGTCTCCATCCGTTAACTCAGACAGTAAATTATTTGATGTTTCTAAAGCTTTTCTGCGTGAAATCCATTTTTGTACCCAGATCTTGTGTTTATGTTTCTTTTTCTTGTTTTTTCGGGTCTTCTGCAATAATTCTAGAAACAAAATATTCACAGCAACATTAAAGTTGACGCCATTTTTCATTTTTCTACTGCGCCAGTTAAAAAAATTTTGATATCAAGTGGAAACAGATACTGGCGCCACTGTTATTACGCCAGCAAACTGGCACGTGTACTGGCACCAATAAACTATGCTTGTGGAAACGCCGCTTAACGCGTAGAAAAGTGATTTATATTCTCGATATAGAACGCTCACTTTTGTTATAGTTAGTCGCCAAGTGAAATTTCCGACGGTGCTGTCATAGCGGTGTAGTCATTGAAGTAATATTTGGCGGGCCGCTTGAATCTCGGTTTAAAATGACAGGTTTGACATTTCAATTATTTCAAAATAAGGCAGTGCTCCAAAACTTCATAAACTAAAATTTTATACATTTCATTTTCATATATTTATGTGAGAATCACTTAATGAATAAAATAGTCTATAATCTATTCATAGATGATCTGACGTATCTGACTCATGAGCTGACTGAAACCATAGAGAAATATAATAGTAGTAAACTACGAGAGAAGTCATTCCCCTGTAATTAGGGTGGGTTCCGTTGTCTAACCTGGTTAACCGGTCGGTACAATGTCGGTTGACAGCGGTTGACAACGATTGACAAGTGGTTGCTGAAAAATTCGGTTTCATACGGAACGCTTTTTCAATCGCAGAATCGCCGCCGGTTGCTTTGGTGACATGTTTGACATAACCAACCGCGTTCCGTATGGACCGGTTTTTCAGGAACCAGACATTACGGAACGTGTAACCGTAACCAAGGTTGGCAACGGAACCCACCCTTAACTGGCACAATGTCGACGTTAGCGGCTCTGGTGGCTACGAACAGCAATAAAAGAGTGAACATTGTTTGAATGCAGGTTTCTTCTTTACCGACAGTGAAAAGGCGGCTTTTTTGAATAATTAAATTATTAACTTTGATTTTATTCAAGATTTATTAAAAGTACTGTAAACGCTCAAAACAGTTAATTGCAAAGCAAAACATTTGTTGAAAAAACTTGCTAAAATTTACCGAGCAACTATATAGAACGATAACAGAACTTATTTTTAAAAAATCCAAATTAGATGCAATGAGATTTCTTAAGGGGGTCAAGGAGGTAATTGAACAATACAAAAATTGAGATATCTTCAAACAAACTTATTTTTTTATTTCAATTTTATAAATATACCTACAGTAACTAAAAATGTTTGTATTATAAGCTTTGTGTTTACCTTTTTACTGCATCTCGCATCATCGCAAATTCGAAAACACACTATTATTGGTGTCGATTTTGTCTAATTAATTAATATTTATGATCACAGAATAATTTCTCATTTCTCTAATATAAATTATAGAAGAAATTTTAAGTTATGACGATGAGCATTCAGTTTTTGATTGATGGTCTTCGGATTCAATCATAGACGATTCAATAATTTGTCAAATTTTGACAATTTTGTATTTTGTATGTGTTAAAAAAAAATAGAACATTTTCGGGCAAGTTGCTGACAAAGACAAATTAAACCGAGTTGTTAAAAACGATCGAAGTAATTAGTTCAATAATCTGCCACACCATGCGAAATACGCTACGGGTATGTGCACAAACACACTTCCAGATTGTTACATTAAACAAACGTCTCTCGTAGTTTACTACTATTATATTTCTCTATGACTGAAACACTTTCCAATATGCTTTTTGACAATGTCCACTTTTCCAGTTATATGGCTGTCATATTTGATCAAGTTATTTATAATTTTCTCCAGCTTGTATATAGCATCATAGAGTGACACTATTTCTAGGTTCTGCAACCGGCGGTGTAAACCGGCTGCTTATTGTGATGCATTCATCACTTCTTTCCTTTCACAGTCTTGGGATTCAAAACAATCAACGACGATGTACTCAACAAATTAATTCAGATGACATAAGTATGCAATATGATGTTAAATGTACCATCGTCACCAAAAGTAACTGGGACAGCATTACATTATAGTCCGGGAGCCGAGGCTCTTTTTTCCAAATCATTAATAACAAGCTAGTTTTTTCAATGCAGCTTCATTTCACCGAGACGCCCAACTTTTTTCTCACAAAAATTGCGAAAACAGGTAGCTAACATACTGCGCAGGTGTAAAACATGTCGATTTGATGATTATGAAAATGTAATTAATAACAGTTAGTTTTTTAGCTAAATGTTGAGATAATTTTATGAATAATTTGAAACAACATTTGTCCGACAAAATAAAAGGTTTGGTCTATGATGTCCCCCCCCCTCAAACATGTAGCAATTACATTGCATGAAAAATGATTAATAACAAGTTGATTTTTTCAATGTAGGTTGGTAAATATTATTACAATTAAATGGTCGAACTGTCCTACAAATAAACAGGTAACTATTTTCGGTCCTACACTCAAAAGTTGTCGATTTCACGATTTAACTTTTCTCAATAACCGGCTAAATCTTCGTGAGCATCTTCATTTTGATAAGACGCCCAAATTTTCTTTTACGAAAATTCCAAAACCAGGTAGCTAACAGAGTGCGCAGGTGAAAAACATGTCTATTTGGTGATCATACAAATGTGAATAATAACAGTTAATTGTGTAGCTAAATGTTGAGATAGTTTTATAAATAATATGAAACAACATTTCTCCGGCAAAATAAATGGTTTGATCTAGGCTGTCCCCCTTCTCAAACATGTAGCAGATACGTTACATAAAAAATGATTTATAACCAGTTGATTTTTTTAATGTAGCTTAGTAAATATTACTACAATTAAATGGTTACACTGTCCTACAAATAAAAATGTACATTTCTCCAGTCCTACATTCAAAAGTTCTCGACTTCACGGTAATACTTTATTCATCAATCACCGACTAAATCTTCTCGAGCATCTTCGTATTAATAATACGCCTAACTTTTCTATTGCGAAAAGTTGCAAAAGTAGTAGCTCCTAGAGTGAGCAGATGTAATAGACGTTGATTAGGTGATTATGCAAATATAATTATTAACAGTTAACAGTTAATTTTTCCAGGTAAATAATGAGATAATTTTATAAATAATTCTAAATTCGATTTGAGCCACAAAATAAAGGGTTTGGTCTGCAGTCTCCCCTTTCTCAAAAATTTAGCAATTACTCGCTCATAAAAAACGATTTATAACCAGTTGATTTTTTTACTGTAGTTTGGTAAATATAACTACAATTGAATGGTCACATTGTCCTAAAGAGGTAAGATGTCTCAGCCCTACATTCGAGAATTTCGAAAATAGCCTTATGCATAATAATATTATATGTAAATATGTACAGAGCTTTCATTTCAAAACTTGCTACCCACGTTATCTGCGTAAAGAGACAGATTTATAGAAATCGCCGGAACACGTCAACAAATTTATTGAGGGGGTACGTTTTTTACGTTAAATTGGACTTCGCCCCCTTCAACCCCCAACCCCCAGGGCCCAGATGGTAGGGGCAAAGTCCAGTTTTACGTAAAAGACATCCCCTTTTAACAAATAACAAATTTGTTGACGTGTTCCGGCGATTTCCAGAAATCTGTCTCTTTACACAGATAACGTGGGTGGCAAGTTTCGAAATGTAAGCCCCTGTATGTACATACGACCTCGTATCTCTTACCGTTTCTCAGATCCCCATACTGGCCTTCCTTATCTTGGACACATTGTATTTATACCGGGTGTCCTACCGAAAACTGTCAATGGCCTATATCTTGAAAACGGTAATCGATAAAAAAAAACTATTAAAAACCCGTTTGGAGGGTTGGAAGGGGGAACCAAAACAAGGTACTTTTCAGGTCTCCCTGAAGCACCCCTCCGGCCGTAGCTACCCTAACCTCAAAATCTTACATGGCACTATGGGTCATGTGATATCTTGTTTCAAAGGTCTTTTAATTCTCTTGATAAATCAGCGAAAAAAAATTATCCAGATTTGAATGTGACTCTCATTTTGATGAAAACCTCATTTGATCCGGTGAAACAGGTAAATGTGATTTAAAATCGATTTTATACAAATTGAATAACAGCATGAATATTTTTGAAGAAATTATCAAGATTTTATTACACTGTACCTGATAGTGTTTCCCTCCTCAAGAGAGCAAAGTTGGTAACTCGAAGCATGCGCCATTTTGTGACAATTTAAATTTGTTTCTAGATATTTTTTTTTTGCAGATTCGTTTAGAGAATTAAAAAACCTTTCAAACAAGGTATCACATGACCTATAATGCCATTTAAGATTTTGAGGTTGAGGTGGCTACAGCCGGAGGGGTGATTTGGGGAGAGCTGAAAAGTACCTTATTTTGGTTCCCCCTTCCAAACTTCCAAACGGGTTTTTCTTTTTTTTTTTTTTCTATCGATTACCGTTCTCAAGATATAGCCATTGACAGTTTTCGGTGGGACACCCGGTATACAATATTCGATTCAAGATAGCTTTATAAAATTTCAAGTATACATATTCAATCATGAATAACCATTTCTAATGCGAAAATCGTAACAGAGACAAAGAACACACTTATGTAGTTAACATTACGTATGATTATAAAGCCTATACTTCATATTAATATAACTTCTATACGAATAAGTTTTTCAACGGTTACATACTTTTTGTCGGACTAGCGATAACTACCTACTTTCTTGTAGGACATTGATTAATTTCGGTAGAAAATATGTTAATCTATCACGTGGCTTTTGTGACCTACAGTTATTAATGAGAAACATATTACCGTGAAGTCGACAACTTTTGAGTGTAGGACTGGAAAAAGTTACCACTTTATTTGTAGGACAGTGTGACCATTTAATTGTAGTTATATTTATTAAGCTACAGTAAAAAAATCAACTGGTTATTAATCATTTTTTATGTAACGTAATTGCTACATGTTTGAGGGGGGGACATCATAGACCAAACCCTTTATTTTGTCGGACAAATGTTGTTTCTTATTATTCATAAAATTATCTCAACATTTAGCTAAAAAACTAACTGTTATTAATTAAATTTTCATAATCACCAAATCGACATGTTTTACACCTGCGCAGTATGTTAGCTACCTGTTTTCGCAATTTTCGTGAGAAAAAAGTTGGGCGTCTCGGTGAAATGAAGCTGCATTGAAAAAACTAGCTTGTTATTAATGATTTGGAAAAAAGGGCCTCGACCCCCAGACTATTAGCTCTTGTCCTATTATATGAATTTTATTGTCAAATATTTGTCAAACTATGAATTAAATGCATTGAAATGAATGACAGTAGAATTAGTCCAGGAGATTATTATGCATTATTTGTGTCCCAGATACTTTTGGTGACGATGGTACCCCTGTGTTTTTATGACTGGTTTTTATATCCACGATTCTATGTCGGTCATTGTCATTTTCTATCCACTAAACAAAGATAGCTAACTCATCGGTGAAGTCAGAGATTAGAATAAAAATGAGAGGGACGCGGACGTTGAGAAACGGCGATATGGGCGCACAACGGTGTAGTCACGAACTAAAACAAAAAGTGGAGGGGATGAATCCAGTGAATGTTCTATTTAAAAATTTATAAACCACTTTTCTATGCTCTAATGACAGAAAATGTTGTCGCTGAAAAACCATCCTGTTGGTTTTTTTCAGGTAGGAACAGGTAGGAGTTTTGTCAGTAGGAAACCGGCCGTTCTTATGACTTTTTGCCAGTGTAAAACACTCTAGTGAAATAGTCAAATCAAAATCAACAAAAAAAAAATCACTGTTGTTAACTGAACCTGCTAGATTTTAGAAGTTTTTCTATTTAAATTAGTCAACTTTAAACATTTTTGTTAAAAGTTTTATTACGGAACCTAGTGATATATTTTGTACCTACGTAGAAGCATGCGGTACATACCATGAAGTTCTCCTCTTCCTAACATAGGGGAACTGTTCTCATTTTCGGATTCGGAGCTCAAAATCTGCACACGATTGCTAGCAACGTTTAACGAAGGTTGCGGATTCGTTAAAAGAGGGGTTATCTTCTCTATTGAGTATAAATGAAATCTTAGTCTTGTTAGTCCTGTAATCTTGTACATTTTTGGGACGGTATAGTCTCCCAGCGGGATTTGTTGAAAGTCCCAAACGGCGAATGAAAAATTTTCTTTCCTACCTTGATGACGAACGATTTTTGAAAAAAAAACTCTTGCACGCTAATAATATATCATTGTATCTTCCGTCTATGCTTACTACTAATTTTCGGGTGCCACCATACTGTTTTAGTGTAACTTGCTTATGTGGATTACCGTTTAGACTGCAAAGCCATCCCACTATCACCTGTCTGCTATCTTTACTTTTAATGGTTTTATTTTCTAAAGAGGCAGAGCAAAATTCCATTTCTTCATCGCTAGTCGAAGAAGTTCTACGACTACGTTTTTTGCTCATTTTCTTTCTAATGAGATTTACTAGTCCCATTCTTCTTTCAGCTCCTTGGATTTTCTTAGTGCAGAAATCTTTCACGGCAATGCTATCGCCCAATGTGGGAGAGTAGGTTGTTAAAATGTCAATGGATGTCTTTGATATGGTTTCACAATCCATCTAAGGACATAATAGTATATTGTGTATTTAGATGGAAAAGTGACACATTCTCGGCCGACCGTGTAAGTTGACGGGCGAGGCGTAGCCGAGGCCGGCAAACACCTAAGGCCGAGAATGTGATTTTCTACCGAAATACACATACTATTTTTTCTGCGATCGGTTAAATATCTGTTAAATGTTTGTTTTTTTGTTCTAATTATTCAGCAGTACGAGAATCACTTTCCCGGCCTATGCCGGAAAAGTGTTTCCGGTATTGTTATTCATTGATTCCTTAGCAACTATTGAAACTTAATTGAAATACCAGAATATTGAGTTTTGCGACCTGTCAACTGGTCAAAAATACTGACATTTCTTGTCAATCGCAGAAAAAACAATTTATCGCATTTTTTGACAGTAATGTGATACATAACTGCATTCAAAATTGAGTGGTAAAGTGCCATTTTACCAAGATAGTAACACTTTACCACATAGCAACGATTACCAGTTTTTTTTTTTATCGTTTCGCTTATAATTTTTAAAGGTCTCTGGGTAACCAACAAAAAAAAAACTAACCCTAAATTGGCCACCGTCTGTTGTGAATGTCATTTCAAAAATTATTTCAATGTCATGTCAAAAGTGAGAATATTAGACAAAATGCGATAAAATAAAGTAGTATAGGCAACACGTTAGCAAAGGGTTTTACCAATTTCGTGAGGCCTTAGAGCCCTCGCTCGCTTCGCTCCCTCGTACACAAAACTGGACACACCCAATTGGTAAAACCTTACTTTACTAAACTTGGTGCTTAATATACTATTAATCGTGAGGAATAGGTATACCTACATATTATGTCAGTTTTGCACTAAGAAGGTACTAACCTTTTCCGTTTCCAATATCTGTATTGTATCATCTGAAATGCGTCGATTTTTTAAGTAATTTTATAAGTCTTTCTCCATGTTTAACCTTAAACAATTAATAGGTATACGCACTGGGTCTTCAAAATGCCCAAGTATTTATTGGTGCAATATTGCAAGCAGCACGTAGTGAGGAAAACCACCTATTTAAAATATTATTTCTTCAAATCTTAAATTTTTTAAAAAATGTTTACTGAATAAAAGTAGATGTTGCAACCATGTATTGCTCAGTGGAATTCCTGAGAAGAAGAGCGCGCCATCAAATTTAGGGGACCGCGTTCGACCCATACTGCGAACGGGACACAGAAGAGAATAGGCAACTAGACGCTAGACTGGAGAACAGACTGGTTCCTTTAAACGCGTGTCTGTAATTATTCATTATTCAATTTTCATTCCTATTTTGCATTAAAATTAATTGTTCAATCCAATTTGTTATTAGTGTGTGTGTCAAGGAGCGATCACCAGGTCAGTTAAATAATTATTATTTTGTTTTTGAGAGTTCAATTTACGCAAGTATTATGTTTTTTCCAATTTTTATGTTTTTTTGTTTGCTTATAACAATTTTTTATAACATGGGCATTGTTTATGTATTTAACCAAAATCGTTTCATGCTGTAAACAACACAGATAAAGAGTAAATTAAAACCTAAGAAATTATGTGCTGTCTTTTTGTGCTGAGATTTTGATTTTGTGTATTCAAAGCGTGCATTTGGGCCTTGTTGAATTTACTAACATTTTCCAACCCTGACGAGAGAATATCCTAACAAATTGAAATAATCAATCTAGAGATATTGGCTCAAAAACAACTATAGCTGAGTAGCATCCCGTATTGGACCTCAGTACCTGCTGGGAGACTGGCTAACTAACCAAAAACTCTTCAGTTTGGAATATAGGTAGTGTTGATTGAATTTAGTGTGTGTAATTAAAATTTTAGCACAAGAACAGGGGCGGTACCTAGTTTCAACTTTTATTGAATTAATGACTCACGATTATTATTAAAATTACACAGTATGTTTCGATGTTTCCGTGCTGTTTCCCCTCGTTAGTTCCAAGTCGAGAACGGTACGTTTTTCTTTGATAATAAAGGAGACGTTTCACAAATTTTTCGTTTCTTTTACATATCACAACTTCCCTTAAATTTCCCAAATATTTGCTATGTCGGGCGCATGTCCAGTAAGTAAAATTGAGTAAGTTTCCACAACGTGGGTCCTATTTGTTTTTCATTTCATTTCTCAGAAGATTTGTTGTTTAAAAGGTAAAAAAAATTCTCATCGTTCAATCTTACTGAGCGAACCTGGGTATGTTATACTACAGTAGGCATCCAGCTCCAGTATATGCATATTAGTAAAATCACATTATAATTCAGCCAAAGTAGACGAAAAAATAGTGCTAGGTCTGCATTAATTCGCATACAGCTAAAAATTGGTGTAGGTCCCATTTAAAGGCCAACATTCGGTCAATTTGATACTTGTATGTACCTACAGGATGTCCCACTTAAGATAGTATTGGGGATTATCTGCTAAACTCGAAAAGTAGATTTTTTTTTGATTTCACATTCCTGGGCCAATTTTTTATGATGGATCGAATACCGTAAACCGCAAGTCTCTATCTTGTACCGTTTCGGGGATATAGGGTGAAACATGAAAATAATCAAACATTTCAACACCAACAAAACAATACACAACAGCAACAAAGACAACAAAACCCGTATTTCCTTGTGAAGCCGCAATTTCCTTCACAACCAATAAACTTACAGCCAAAAGCAATAACTCATAAATTCCCTACTAGTTCAGGAGCGGGACTCTGTGTCATGTAGAATTCTATCAGTCGACAACATTCTACATGGTTGGCACTCTGTGCATGAAAAATATCGACAAAACGTGATTTATTTTATACTTTCATTTCTACATCTCGAGACGGGTCGAATACTACTGACGCATGTGCATTTTGAAGTTTCATGAATGTCAATGACAATTGCGAAATTGTTGTTGTTTATTTTTAAAGTCCATATTTATATTCAGAAATAATTATTTCTATTTTTTATTTATTTAATAATATTTAATATTTTCATTAGTTTATTTCGAACAGACGCTGATTTCTGATTATATTAATAATATTAATATTAGAAGCGAGCATTTTCAAATGTATGAAATGTTACTCCAGTTTGGTTTTGTAAGAAAAACCCTGGTTTAATTACAAATTTGATTAGCCTTGTATTGGGTATTGGTAATGGGTGGAAAATTAAATTATTTAAAAATAAAACCCGGAATAAAACACATATTATGGTTAAAATCTTTATAATAACATTAAGAAAAAATCAGTGGATTAATTATAAAATGACGACGAATCAAATTGTTTCTTTCTTAGACATCTGCTTGCATAATGTTGCATTATATGGTACCTCTGCACGTGAATGTTACCCCTTCGGATATGAGGTTCGGGAACCATTCAGTCTCTAGCTCTTCCGAGCAATTACTATGTAAAAAACACAAACAATAACAAAGCGCCCAACTTTTTCTGAGTCATACCTCAACATTTTTGAAGTACCCACAAATCTTTGTTTAAACACACCGATAAAATTTCGAGTTTGTATGTGATTTTGGCTATTAATTGAACTCTGGAGTTCCTGGAGCAGCGTTTTCTCTAGGTGTCATTAGCCAGAGTTCTTCGTCATGTGGTCTAAGAATTTCACTGACTGTGGGTTCCATCGACCGCTCCTATCAGTCCTATCACACTTGGGAAATTAAGTTTTTCCATAAATCCTGCTTCAATTAGATTTTTCTTGTCTTGAGTCACAGAAAACTGAACCCTGATGGCAATTGATACTTTCTCTATTGCTCTGCTCTTGACATAGTTTGTTGAGCCACATAAATATTATAGCTTTGCTCAATAAGCTCTTCAAATCTAATATCTTCTTTTTGAATACAGCGACTGTTGTTGAGCATCACTCATCACTGGATATTTTCCAGACAAATATGTTCAAGCTTCTCATCTTCCTCAACAATATTCTTATTTAAATTATTAATGGGCAATAAAACATAATTTTTAAACTTCAAACTCAATTTTCAGGAAGCAAAAATAGGTCTGAACAAGGCAAACAAGCAAACCAAATAATAACAAAAACAAACTTATTAATGACGTATACAGTCAATACAATAAATAATATTGACATTTCTTAAGAGTCAAATAAAAATTCCCTAGAGTGTCCCCCAGATTTGTACTACGTTTTTCGAATGGTTAGTAGCATGATAAAAGGATCCGAGAACGTGGCCGAACTGTTGTCGATAGTGACACAGAGTGCCGTTTCAGTCAACTATCGCTTTTGAAAATTGATATCTACTATAGAAAGCGAACTATAGAATTCTATAGAGCACAGAGTCCCAGAGCAGGTACGTTTGGTAAAAATTACAACAAATCAAATGTTTTTAAACCAAACAATAACCTTCCCTTGACAAAACCGACACCTCTGTCTGGTGTATCAATTCAACCAAGAAGACAAGATTCCCAAATTAATAGACGGAATTTTTCAAGAGGTTTTCAACCCCAACAATCAAATTATTTTCGACCAGATCCCAATGCAAGTCCTTCAAAATATACCATTGAGGAAATAAATAATACATACGGAATTCAATTAGAAGAACCAGACGAAATTTCTGAGAACTATGAAAGTGTCAGAATTCGGAGAAATATCTGACAACTCAGAAATAAATGACGATCAAATAAGTCAAGATTACCAAGAAAGCCCTGATGAAAATTTTCAGACACTAGCTTTGGAATTCAACAATCAGCATTGACTTTAAATGCATACCAAGTCAATCAATTACCTTTTATTGAAACTTTTGATCCACCTTGTAAGCTTTTAATAGACGCAGGTAGTTACGCTGCACTAATAAAACCTTCAATAGCAGAAGAATACTTCCCAGATTTTATAGTAAACTCTTTAAATAAACTTACTACA